GTTGATGGTAATTTTTATGAAACAGTTTATAGTTACTTTCAAGTAACAGAAGAGTTACTTTCTGGAAAATAAAGGCCATTTCTTTTTTTCTGCACAAAAACTCCAGATATTTCAGGCTCATCACTGTGTCCAGTTATCCCTATGGTTATCAATGTATTACAGTGAATTGATAAATCAGAGTAGATAAATAATGAGTGAAGATTAATTTCATCACATGCAGCAGCTTGTTTTTAAACAAAGATCCCCTCTGTTCATGTTGAAATAATCCTTACAGAAAAGGGGATCCGTGGGAAGTGTTTATTTTTGTACTTTCTGTGTGTGTAAAACATGAGGTTAAAGCACTGGAGTTTTGCCCATCTTTTCATATGAATTTTTTTCCCTTGTTTTTCTCTAAATAGGCTCATTTTGCATCAGCACTGACAGTTGTTTTTGTGAACTCTAAGTCATTATCATCAATCAAAATAGATGATACACCCCTTGATGATCCTTCCTTGAAGGTTCTTGTTGCTAACAACAGTGATACTCTAAAACTGCTAAAAATGAGCAGCTGTCCTCATGTTTCACCTGCTGGTGAGTACTGAATGTATGTGAAAAATGGAGTTGTAAAGCATCATAATTGACTTAGTCTTGAGTTGGACAGTTGGAAGGTGGAGAAGAAAGTGGTTTTTAGTAAATGAGTTTGGTTTGTGAAGGTGGAGGTGCCACTCACTTGACCGCATCTTCTGGATTCCTGGAGACTTTTTTTTCATCCAGCTGCTTTGCTACCTCTGATGATAGGCCTTGAGGAGGAAAAGCCTCCAAAATTAGTGCAAGCCTTTCACAAATGCTCAAAGGACATGATGTTCATTGCTTTAGTATGTGATGGTAACCCAATGGGTGCTCCTTCATGTATGCAGACTTGTAAACTTAACTAACTGGTGTTCTGTGTGAACACCACAGAATCCCTGGTCCATGAATCAGCTACTACTTGGTGGGATAAAGGAGATTATAACAGTTGTCAGTAATTGTTTTGCAAGGTGCTGTAAGTGTGTACAAATTTCAGAAACCTGTGGTGTAAGATTGAGTGTTTCCAGTTTCCAGAGTGTCCTTGTGTTCAGATCTGGGACTGGTAACTTCCTCATTGGATGGTGAAGGACTTACTACCTTCAAAGTACAGCCTTGCTGAAAGTTCAGAGGGCTTCAAGGTCCCTTCTTACCTGCCTTTCTCCTGAAACCTTAGTGCTGGGGAAAGGGAGTCTGGGTCTGATCTGTTCCTGTATTCTTTACTGGAGTCCACAAAAAGTGACTTAATCCATGTACTTCATATTCCAGCAGATTAGGAGGAGTTACTGTTATTTAGGTCTTAATTCACGGAAGGTTGTAGCTGTTAAACTGGGTGGTGGTGATTTAAATAGTTTAGTTGAAAGTTGAAGGAGTGAATATTAGGGAAGGGAATGGTGGCAACTTCAGCTGAGTGTGACCTGATTTCAGTTGCTTCTTCGAAGTTGAGGAAAATCTGCATGGGGAGGGGAAAATAGAAGGGTATGCAGATCCAAGATGAATGTGACTTGAGTCTTTTACTGTGAAGTGTTAATGGCCAAAACCCTGTAAAAGGTTGTGGATACCTAGAACTTGGATATTTCATGGGGTTGGATATAAGCAAGAAAACTTAAGCCAACTTTACAGAGAACAACTGTACTTATATTCACTTTTCATTTTAGAGAGTAAATTTTTTTGTTCCTCAGGCATTCTTTGTGTGGCTGATCAGTGCCATGGACTTAAAGAGCTGGCTTTGAACTACTACATATTAAGTGATGAACTGCTGCTGGCTCTTTCAAGTGAAAAACACGTTGATCTCGAACACCTTCGCATCGATGTTGTGAGTGAAAATCCTGGACAAGTTCAATTTCACACCATTAAAAAGCAAAGCTGGGATGCTCTTGTTAAACACTCTCCCAAAGTCAACATCGTGATGTATTTCTTCTTGTATGAAGATGAATTTGACGCTTTCTTCAGAGAGGAAACACCCGTTACACACCTGTACTTCGGTCGTGCAGTGAGCAAGGCAATGCTGGGTCGCATTGGCATGAACTGCCCCAGGCTGATCGAGCTGGTCGTGTGCGCCAATGGACTCCAGCCTTTGGATGATGAGCTCATCCAGATTGCTGAGCGCTGTAAGAACCTAACAGCCATGGGGCTGGGGGAGTGTGAAGTCACCTGCAGAGGTTTCATTGAATTTGTAAAGATGTGTGGGGGCAGGCTTACTCAGCTCTCTATAATGGAGGAGGTGCTGATTCCAGATAGTGATTACAGCTTAGATCGGCTTCATCTGGAAGTCTCCAAACACCTTGGAAGAATGTGGTTTCCTGATATGATGCCAACGTGGTAAATTTTATGTCTGGATAAAATGGTAGAATTGGGGTGTTGCTTTCTATGCAAATAAAAAAATATAAAAATTAAATGTGAAAACTTTCTTCCAGATTTGAGTTTTTCTTCCTTGAGAAAACCTCTATTAGACTAACAGCAAAACACTCTACAATATTAATTGTGTATTGAAATAGAAAATAGATTTAAGTGTACTTAACAGTTCTGCAAGTATGTCCGTGGTTTACAGGTGCTTCAAACTTCAGTGAATTTGGGCTTCTCTGAGCTTCAGTTTAAACATTCCATTTACTTTAAAGTGGGTTTGGTTTGTATTTTTTTTGTCTTTATTTACTCTTTCTGATGTAGTCAGAAGAGAAATAGAGAAACTATATTACTTTAGAAAATCTATCTGTGGAAAGCTGGATAGAACTTTGACTACAGTATTATTTGTCATGATGTTTCATATAACTATTTTTTTTAATTACTCATGTTTTAATTGTAAAAGCTTGTATATTAAAATACACTATCCTGGGTTAATCAGCTATAATCTAGCTTAAATTCATGGCAGTATAATAAAATGATAATAAGCTTATGCTTACAAAAGACTTTCCAGTTCTAAATTGCACTTTAAGTGATTTTGTCACATTACAGAAACTAGGGAATGCATTGTACAGTATATTGTTTTTGTCTTTTTCATTAAAAGGATTGGAAGGAGTTTTTGTTAAAATTACTGATTTTAAGTTTGGTTCTAGATTGATTGCTTGAGTGAGCATTAAAGCACTTTGGAAACTATTAGGACAATAAGGAATAGCTTTAGATTTGGGCTCAAGTCTTTGTAATCAAAGACTGATGTCTGAATGCTGTTCCATGCTTTCGTTCCTATGAAGAAGGGTTTCATAAATGTGGCTGGTAAGAAGGAAAGATCAAATGCAATACAGTTGTCTTTGATCCATTTCTATTTGGAATCAAGGATTTAGAGCACTTAAGGTTGTCACTTAGGGTGCAAAATGGACATTAGTAGTCTCACCTGTATCTTACAGAGCTTTGTGTAAGCCCTGATTTCTAGAGAAAGGCTTGCTGGAGGTAATCCTGAAATATTTTATTCAGGACTGTTTAATACTTATTGCTATTAATTGTTTTTTGAGAAAGATTGTATTATATTTATTTTCTTAAAAGGGGAAAGGCATGATGAGAAAATGATGTAAATTAGAGTATGTATTTTTGTGTTAACATTTTGCACACTGTAAACTTAAATGCATTGTATATAAATCTTTGCTGTAATGATTTTGGTGCCACACTTGTTCCATCTTCCTGTTGATAATGAGAAGTCTATAAGAATTTGCTGGTGGTGGTTGTCACTGTTGTGGCTTAACCCTGGCTGTCAGCTGAGCCCCTTACAGCCAGAGAGATGGGAGAGAGAACTGGAAGGTAAAAGTGAAAAAACTTACGGCTGAATATAAAGAGTTTAATAGTAAAGCAAGAGCCACACAGGCAGGCAGCCCCCAAGCAGGGAATCCATTCACCACTTCCATCAGTCATCTCCAGGAAAGCAGGGCTCCATCACCCATAAACACCCCCCTTCCTCCTTCTCCCAGCTTTATATGCTGAGCCTGATGTCATACAGTATGGAATGTCCCTTGGCTCAGCTGTCCTGTCCCTGTCACCTCCCAGACTGTGCTCCCTCAGCCTCCTGCCTGAGGGACAGTACAAGAAACAGAGCAGGGCTGGGCTCTGTGTAGGCATAAAAACCCCCACATTACCAATGCTGTTTCCAGTACAAACCCACAGTGCCATTCTAGCTCCTGTGAAGTGAATTAAATACCCCAGCCAGAATCAGTGCATTCACAGCAGAGAATAGGTTTCTTCCCCACTTCCACAAAACAGATAAAGGGTTAAAACAACCATTTCTTGAACTTGTTTCTAGCTGGAAGCCCAAGGGTTCAAGGTAACATGTAGACCTGAGTCAGTAATGCTTTATTGCCTTGTTGCACAGTTAAGTAGCATCTCTCTGACTCTGTTTAGTAGAGGCTGTGAATCCAGGGATTATAATTTGAACACAAAACTGAAATACTACCCAACAGTCTTTGGTTCAAGATGTGTGGTTTGCTTCAAATGGAATTGAAATAAAGTGGTTTAATCCACTGATACTAGACACATCCATCTGTTGCACTGTGTTCTCTTGGGGTTCACTGAAAGCCATGTGTGTGACAAACCTTGGGAGAGACTGGAGAGTGGCAAATCAGTCATTGCCATTTCATGTTTGTGCCTGAAAACTGATTTCTGACATGCAAACCATAAAATGGAGTGTGGACAAAGCTTATGAATTATCGGGAAGTCCTGGAGTCCTTTGTGTCTCTCCAGCCAACAGAACAGTGTTAGTGTATTTATAAACTCTGGTGACAGATTTACAGTTCACGGGGAAACTCTTAAAAGGCTGCTTGGAATATTGTCCCTCTCTCAGTCCCTGTCACTAAGGCAGTGTTTCTGTGAAGCCAGGAATCAGAACTGCTAAGGTTGGAAAAGACCTTTGAAGTAATCAAATAAAGCTGTTGAATTCAGCTTGTCCCAGCTCCAAGCTTCCAGTTAAATAGGCCTGCATTGATGAATGTTGGGATTTTTGATGCACTGATGTTTCAGAGCATTTGTTCTTGATCTGAACAAGTGAGGCTAGCTGGTGCCTGGGGGAGAAGCTGACAGGAATGTGCCTTCTCTGCCACAGGAGGGAGTAAGCACTTTGCATTTTAGCTGATTTTTCAGACTTTGAGAAAGCTTACAGCTAGTCATTGCTAATTTCCTGGTTCTCTGGTAAATGCAAATTCCAACAAAAACTCACATCTTTTTTTGTTTTGTGAGTCCCATCCAACGGATGTTGCTTGTATAAAGCTCAAAGTATTGAATAGGTGATAATATAAACGGTTGTGTATGGGAAGAAAAACAACTTTTGGATGCTGAGATGGATTTATTTGGAATTTACTGCATTTCCATTTCAATCTCTTTGCCCTTTCCCCCTTTCAAGATTGCTTGTAGGATCCGAGTGGTCGCAGTTCTCTATGTGAATATGCGATGTGATCCCAGGAAATACTCTTTGCATCGGCAGCATTCTCCCAAGGACTTGTCCCTTGGAAATCACACCATTGTATTTTATGGGATGGATACAGAGTAGTTTTACACAGAATCCTGATGAAAAAAAAGAGGAGAAAAAACATCAGATGACTGATGAAGCATTTTTTCTTCTGTATAATATTTCAGAAATATTAACAGTGTCTGTCTTGTCCTTTCCACTGAGATAGTAGCAAAATAGCAGAAATACTGTGGTCATAAAAATTAGGTAGGTAGTGGTTGGAGTCATTCATCAGGTAGGAGAGGGAAGATGGAAGGCAGGGAGAAGGTGGGAATTTGTGCTGTAGGAAAGGGAAAAGCTTGAAGACATCCTGCAGAACTCAGTTATTTGCATTGAAGCAGGGGCAAAATAGTACAAGTGGATAGAAGAAAACGTGGCTAAACTGCTTGGCTAACTGAAATGTAATACATCCTATGTGAGCTCAAGACAAAGAAATGTTGAATGAAAGATAGCTATTTACCTGATCCCCTGATTTGGACTCCATCATCAATGGCATTTCCATTGTGGAAGAATTTAACAGGCCCAGAGAGCCGGCCAGAGAAGGGAGCATACACAGTGGCCCCGTCAGCACAGATGACATCCACTGCCTGGTGCTTCCCTTTGCCATCGCGTCTGAAAACATCATTACAGAATCTCTGGTCAGGCCCAGTGCTACAGACAGAGCTAAGGCAGCACAGGGTGAGATCTGGAAATGGATTGTTAGCACAGAAATGGTGTCAGCAAACTGGCTGAAGGATCTACAGAGGTGTAGGTCAGGTAATGTCATGTAAGGTGGATGACCTGTTAGAATTGGAGAAGAATGCCTTGTCTTTAAATAAAACCATAGAGTCACAGAAAGTTTGGATGTGTGAAGGACATCAAGTCCAACCTTCCACTTGAGTCAGGGTTGTTCCCAACACTAGGTCAAATCAGGCAAGGCTTAGTCTGATAAAAAGCTCCAAGCAGAGAGGTGTTATGAACAATATGGGCAGCCTAAAAGTTTCCTCAAGTCCAATCTAAGCCTTCAAAGCTGTAATTTTTATGTGGCCTAAATAAAGTTTAACCCCTAGTTTAGTGGAAGTACAAAACCCTGTGTGTTTCATTTATATTACCTTGGAGCTCCATAGTATCCACAGCCATACTTATCACAGCCTCTGATCTCGTTGGTAGGGTTCCCTGCACACACTGCAGCCCAGCGCCCGTCCCGTTGTGCTGATGGTGGAACAGCTTTGAAATACAGGAACACAGCACATTGGAGTTAAAGTTTACACAGGAACACAGCACATTAAAGTTCTAGATTGTTTTAACACTTGTATGATTGCAACTACTGTGTTTTATTTACAGTTAGGTAACAATATACTGACATTACATCCCATGCTTGTAGTTGGATTTTTATCCATAAAATTTGTAAACCTTTAGGAATTGTAAATAGAATGTAGACCTAAGCTGGATGGTAATGTTTCTAGATTAGAGTTATTTAATAGAAGCAACATGCTTTAAATACAAAAATTCAAAAAGAGTATCACAGGTCATAGAGTGCAGATCTACTCTTGTTCTGAGTTGTGTATTCTGTTGTTAAGGGTTTTTACCAGGTGTAAGCAGATGAGTAGGATCAGAGTGGTCACAGTTCTCAACGTGGATATGAGAAATAATTCCAGGATACACTTTTTGCATTGGCAGCATTTTCCCAAGTTGTTGCCCTCTCTGGATTTGGCCATGGTACCGGATGGGGTGAATGCAGACAAGCTTCACACAGTAACCTGGGAGAGATGTGAGAGGAAGCAGGGTCAGGAAGCGTCAGCTGCTTCTGCTCCTGGGGTGAGCAAGAAGCATTCCCTGCCAGCCTCTTACTGGAGACTGTTAGGATGAAGCAGAAATGTAGTCAAGGTACCAACAATGATGAAATCAAAATTATTATATTTGCCAGGGAAAAAAGGAAAGAAGTGAGTTGGAAAATAGAGACAGGAAAACATCCCCTCAGCAAAATTGAGGATGTATTTCTGGTGCTTTATTTTTACCGTTTCCTATTTTTTTATTTGGGCTTGTTATTTTCCTGCTACCTGTTTTTCAACTCTCTTCCCTCCTCTCCAAGAAAAGCATAGGAAAGGACTACATCCTGCTGGTGCTGTCTTCCAGTATTTCAGTGTACTAGAGAGGATGTAAGATTAATCAACACCGTGCTTGAATTGAAGAACCACAGAAACTTTGCTCAAGTAAATGAAGTGATTACTTGTGCATGCCTCACAGAACATCTGCTGTTAATTACTTGCCTGCTCCCTTGATTTGGACTCCATCATCAATGGCATTTCCATTATGGAAGAAGCGGATGGGTCCCGAGAGCTGTCCGCTGAAAGGAGCGTACACCGTGGCTCCGTCGGAACAGATGACATCCACACCCACGTGCTTGCCTTTGCCACCGTGCCTGGAGGCAGAAACACATAATTAGGGACATCTCTCAAGGTTAATGTTACATATCAATTGGTCACTTAATGCAGGATGATAGCTGCTAACAAAAATTTTAACAAGAATTTTTAACCTGCAATGAAATTGGACAGGAGTAGCAGGTTTGAAGCATCCTTTTTTCATTTTTTTGCAAATTGTTCACATAGCTCTGACCTTCTTTCAAGTGGGATGAAATTTCAAATGTAAGTTTATTTTTTATTTTCCCAAGTTAATGGGGTACTTCATTACAAACAACAAACTGTTATAGAAAAGTACCAATTTTTTTACCCCATTTTTTTTTACATGTGTCATGTAAAATAGAATCTTGGCTGGCACTTTCTCACTTAGAAATTTGGAAGTTGCATGATGAAGATGGATACTTACAGAGCCTGGAGAGAGGACATGACAAGAAAATGCAAGATTCACTCTAAATATAAAAGCATTTTTTCAGAGAAATATAACCTGTTGCATGAGGTCCCTACTTAAAACTAAACCTAAGTTTTAAGTTTTTTTAAAAACTAAGTTATAAACTAAATAAGTTTTTATATTTTAGGTTTAAAACTTAAAAATACATAAAACTACCACATTAATATCTACTTAAAAATGGTGATGCTGACAGATTTTTAGTTTGTGTAATTGAATCTACTCAGCTTCCTGGAATCTGGTGCTGAGTGTTAGTTAAATATCTGGAGTATAAGCAACAAGGGTAAATGACACAAATCCTTGAAATACATCCATTTCCTTTACTCTGTAATTCATGTAACAGTCCTGCTCCTTCACTCCTGCATCTGTTGTCAGAAGTGCTATCACTGTGCTTCTGCAAGACTGCCCAAAAATCAGTGAGAGATCTTGCAGACAACAGTATTCTCTGATTCTGAGTGTCAGCTCTGTGTAACTACACGCTTTCTCCTGCCTGAACACCTGGTTCAGGGAAGCAGAGTGGGTCCTGGTGCCCGGGAAGCTGTGTTACCTGTGAGCACCGAAATTCCCGCAGCCGTATTTGTCACAGCCGCGGATCCGGTTGGTGGGGTTCCCGCTGCAGATCTGTGCCCAGTGTTGGTGCTGGTGTTGGGGCAGGTGTGCATCCAGCTGCTTGGTGAAAACTTCACATGGAAAAGAGGAAAAAATAGGAAAAATTCAATCATGTTCTTAGTCCAATGCAATAAAAAGTGTTCCGGTACAAAATAGGGTGTTCCGGTACAAAATAGGGTGTTTAAAGTGAAAGACATGAGCTCAAAGGAGTTTGTAATTTTAGAAACTGTAGGTAAAAGGACATTACACAACCTGCTGTATAGACTTGATCCATTTTTTCCTAATGCCTAACTTTAATGTATATGTGTCAAAAAGAAAGCAAAGTTATAGATACAGATGTTTAAAAACAGTTTGTGAAATAAACTATTTTTACTTTCTAAAGATGCTGGGTTGATAGTTGGACTTGATGATCTTAGAGGTCTTTTCAAACCTTAATGACTTTATAATTCTTTCTGAAACTTCCAACTACTTCAGTATATGTTTCTTAATGCACACCTGATTCCATATTTTATAATAGTCATAACTGTCCATATTGCCATCATTCTTCATAAAACTAGTGGGGAAAAACCTTAGCATTCTTTATGTTCAAGTGAATTTCAATAATTCTTTATCATCTGCCTAAACCCAGTCAAGCCCCAGCTGCATTACAGCAATCTCAACTCACCAGTGGACACCAAGCTGACCAGAGTGACCAGACTGAGAGCTGGCATTCTGGGGCCGTGTCAGCCGTGTTCTTTGATCCAGTCCAAGGTGTTGAACAGCTGCCACCTGAGGTATTTATGTGCTTTTGAAAGCCCAAGTCTGTTGTCTTGGCCAATCAGTCTCCAGCAAAGTATTACAGCTCCAGGCAGGTGGTGTTGCCATATTATGCACTGTGGAGGGCTGCAGGCTCTAACAGTTGTTAAAGCTGGTTGGGAAAGATGGATAAAATAATTGGGCTGTTAGCACACAGTAACAGATGGAAATGAACAACCCCACATTTCAGGAAACTCTGGTTGAGCTGTTTCTTAACACATTTTCTTCCCCATCCTGAAGTAAGGGCACATTTAGGCCAAAAATGGTGGGAGACACAAATATGGTTTAGAGGATTGAGCTGGAGGGAAAGGGTGGACAAAGCTCCAGAGTGGATGTCACCAGTTTGTCCTTTGCTGCTCATTCTTCCCTGGGTGTTTGTGCCCACCAGAGCTTTGTGGCTGAGAACACAGGAAGTGTTTGGTGTTCATGAGCATTCACTTATGCAAAGAAAAACAGATGCTTTTGCATCAAAACATTTATTTTTTCTGGTACAGCTGAAATTGTCAATTATTTCATTTAAATCCATGAAGTCTGTTCACTGAAACCCTGGTTTTTAACAGTATAATACTTACTAAAACATTTTCAAGTTCTGAAACAACAGTTGCACACCCACATTGCATGGGCAAGACTGACCTGGAGTTCAATAATTCTAGGTTTTAAAGTGATACCTTTAGTACCTTTTTGTTTTCAACTATTGTACTATAGAGCAGACTCCTTTGTGTCCTGGTAATCCTTTAGTTTGATTTTTCTGCACTACTTACAGAAAAGCATTAGATTATTTTTACAGACATGTCTTGGATAATACGAAATTTAAATGAGACATGGTGTTTTCACGTAAATTATGTTTCAAGTTACAGAAACCTCTGGAAGCCCCACAGATTTTATTCAGAGAAGAAACAGATGTGTCTATGCCCCACTTATAGTTTGCAAAAGCATCTGCACATTGTGTTTTATGAAAACCTCCATGGAACAAGCAGTTGGAGACAAATTTTTCACTTGCATTTCCAAGCTTTTCTTTACAGCCAATATTTAATCCCCAAACAATCTTTTAGCCCTCCCTGGGGTTACAACAAGTGGTTTGGCTGGTTTTATCCCTGCTGCTTTCTTCTCCATCCTGCCAGGAAGAACTGCTGGTTTCCACACTCATAGCCACCAACATATATATATATTTATGTAAAAGTTATGTCCCTTCAGTCCAGTCTGGATGGGGCTTTTGGTTGTAATTTGCTTGACATAATGGAGTCTTGGCTGATAAATGACACAATGTGCTGGTAAGGGTTCTCAGTGGGTATTCAGGGCTTGGGAATGCTGCTTATCCCTGAACTGAAAGATGGGATGTGTGGCTGTGTGTGATCCCTGCCAGAAACAACCTTCATTGCTTATTCTCCATTTGACACAAGCTCTCTGCAAACTCCCTCAGCTCTCCTTAACAGCAGGAGTCAGCAGGGGAGGTGGTAGGGGTGGCATTTCCAGTGAAGATTTCATAGCAGAGAGGTTGTAAAGTGTTTCTGAGCTTGGCTAGTTCTGTACTGGCTGCTGGAAGCTTTTTTTCCTGCTGCAATCAAAACCATTTAAAAATAAAGACTTTTTTCAGAGGATGCCTGACCATTCCCAGCAGAGGGGTGTCCAGTGGGATTTCTGCAATAATGATCTCTCTCAACCAGATTTCATTTCTGATTTATTTCAGTTTGCAGTGGGAGAGTTTTAAATACCTCATTAGATAACTTCAGCCTGGGGCAGACCTGCCTTGCAGAGCTTCTGATTTTTATAGACTCCTGTGAACTCAACATACTCCAAATTTTACCAAGGAAAGAATTGCAGCACTTCAATCTGCTCTACACAGTTTTGTGTAGGAAAGGCTTAGTGAAAGCCAGCCAAGCTGGTAGGCACGAGAAGGGGAGGTGTTAGGGGTGCACACACACTGAAGAAGCTTTTCCTTGAGTCCTGTTTTGCAGTCTGGTGCTTTGTAAAATGGCTCTAAGCTGCCTGATCTTTGCAATTTTTTTCCCATCTCTCCTGTGTGCAGGGCTGACTCCAAATTGCTCGTAACTCTGTACATTTATTTTTATTTTTTCTCTATAAGAGATCCAAACAGCATTGTATCTTGCTCTGGTCATTCAAAAACACACCAAAATGCCATTACTACTGCAATATATCTAATGCATTTGTGGTAAAGTACTCTTAATAAAACAGCTTTCAAGTGTAGGATGAGGCTTTTGGGATGTCTCAGTGCCTTCCCCATATTTCCTGGGTGAACTGGCAGGTGCAGATCTCTCACCTTGGGCATGAGGAAACTCAGCCAAAGTTGGAGGGATTCTTGTGTTGGGCACCAAGATGTTAATTTAATGGTTGGGAGGTGCAGTTGTGAAAGACATGAATTGGCCACTTAGCATCCAGTAACAGAAGGATGTGGAACAAGCCCTGGCATTGCACAGTCCCAGGAGCTGCAGTTGCCCCATTTCCTTCTCTGTGGTGGCAAATGGGCACGAAGATGGAGGGGAGTCAGGTGGGTTAAACTGGGAAATGCTGATTCCTTTCTTTTGCATGGGGTGTGAGGTCCCCATTTCCCCCCTTTAAAAATCCTTGAAGGTCTTCTAATGGACTAAACAATTGCTCATCTGGCAAATGGGAATGTTTGGGCCAGTGAATCACAGAATAACAGACTGGTTTGGGTTGGAAGGGAACTCAAAAACCATCGTGTTCCAACCCCCCTGTCATGTACAGGGACCCTTTCACCAGATCAGGTCCGAGCCCCATCCAACCTGGCCTTGAACACTTCCAGGTATGGGGCAGTCCCAGCTTCTTTGGGTAACCTGTGCCAGGACCTCACCACCTTCACAGGGAAGAATTGCTTCCCAATATCCCATCTAACCCTGCCCTCTGGCAGTGTGTCGTGGTTTTAAATTGTCCCTGTTTCTTCCCCATCACCTTTTCCCCTCACCTTAAATATTTCTAGAACTGTGTATTTTACCAGCTCTCTATTTCCCTCCCAGAGTCAGCTACATATTGTATTTTCCCTTCTTCTAGACCCAGTTAATTTTTAATAGACTCAGAAGATAAAACTGGAATTATTTATACTGTGCACCTCAACTGTTCTGCAGCCTGAAATAGAAAGTGATATTTACTTGTTCTCTTCTGCTACTGGGTGACAGCCCCTGCTAAAACTGGAAGGTTTTATGCAGGAACATCCCTGTGCTGCTGGAAAAACTCTGATTAAATAATGGATCCCTGAAAATTCTTGGAAAACCAATCTGTGGGACACACTGGAAAAGTGCTGAGCTGTGGTAATTAATGTACAAATGAAAATGTTCCTCTTGGAGGAGCAAAGCTGGGCTGTTGATGGAGGCTCAGAGGCTGCTCAGTCACAAATTTCAGTTCTCATTAGGGTTTGCATGGAGAGGTGGCAGTTTGAGTGGGTTCTTCTCTTTTCAAATACAAGTTGATAACTGTGTTAGAACATGGAATTTTAAACAAATGAATTGTAGGTGGCAGCCTTTCTTTCATGAGGGCAACCAACTTCATGATAAAAATTTAAAAACATTTGTCAGCCTGGATAACACTGGAGACTTTTGCTGAAATATAAGCAAGAGAAGAAGAAGTATCAAGGTTTTTTTCACAACAAATTTTCACAACTCAATTGTACTGACTTGCCTTCAATGTCTGGTCACCATCTGCCTCTGGAGGTGGGGCTGAATATTTATGTGGACATTCTGATTTCTCATTCATAGCAATATTAAAGTGGTTCCTGGGGAGGGTGAGTGAGACAAAGCAGGTTAAGCACCTCTCACAGGTGCAGCAAATACCTTTCTGTAGTTAGAAGAAATAAACATGCTGCCAGGACATGCACAGGCCCCACAGAAACAGCTTCCCTGCCACTCCAGGGAGGAGTTGTGCTGGGAAATCCGTGAGCCTGCAGAGCACTGCAGCCCTTGACACTCCCAGTAGCGTGTTGGCAGCCCTGGCCTGAGAAGCCCTGTCCTGCTAACAAGAGCTTGTTGTCCCAGAAAAGTCTTCAGCTGATTTACTAATGGAAAGAAATGCCTCACTTGGACAAAAAGGAACCTGAGTGTGCCAAGGCACTCCTGAGGCAGGAGCCTGGGGAAAAGGAATGAGTTACTTCATCAATGTTGTTTTATGGCTTTTGTGATGGGCCCCAGGGCAGATTTGGGTTTCAGCTTTATACAGTTTTTCCTCCCCAGCTGCCTTAAAAAAGCAGAACCTAGCCCAAACTCTATGACAGCACCAAAGAAATTCAAAGCAATTTGTAGTGAAGCAGCCCTTTAATAATGTGATTTTCCATGTTTAAGCACAAGTGAAATTTCTGGTTTATTAAAGAAATCTTAATTTTTGGCTGAAAGAAAGCAGCAAAATCCAAGAGGAGTGAGCTGCAGCAGGGCTCAGGCTGCTGAGCATTGAGGATCCATCTCCCACCATCCTCTGTCCCCACTGCATCAGCCCCCACCTGAAAGAACAGTGATGGACAGGATATGGTGACAGCTTTAAAGCAGGTGTTGTAGCTTGCTCTGAGTCTGGTCTTGCTCAGATAACCACCAGTATTTTGTTCATGGATACTTCTGAGGTGAAACAACTGCTTGAGGCTCAGTGGTTTCCACCCCACTGGAGTGACAATCTATGTCCAAGCAATGCCCCACAAGTGGGGGCTGGAGGTTTGACCCTGAGGTGCAGCCTCCTGCTCACAGGTTGGGACAGGATCTCTAAAGGCACAGTTCTGGATATGGACATGAAATACAACTCCTCAGTCACCTCTGCATGGGCACCAGGACACTGATTTTCACTCCCTTCTTATGGAACCACTGTGCTCTATAAGCTTGATGTAAGATGACTTCATGCAGAATCCTGTTAACACGGGAGGGAGAGAGGGAGAAACTTGCTCCTATGAAATGGTTTCAAAGCCTGATGAAGCTGTAACAGTAGCAAAATACAAATGATAATAAAATGATAAGAGATTTAGCA